GATTCGTATTTCTTTAAATTACTATATATATATATATATATAAATAATATATAAATATATATAATACAATAAAAAATTAACTTATGTAAGACTTCGTTTGTAGGAACTTTGATAACAATTAATCTAAACACACACAAAAGAATTAAAAATTCTTAAAAAAATTCTTAAAAAAATAATCTCACAACTTCGTAACATCTTAAATATTTCCAGAATTCAAAATAATAAATATCCCAGAAACAATAGAATTTTCCTAGAAATAATAATAAATATTCTAAAAATAATAAAAAATAAAAAAAGAAATGTTTCTAAAGGTCATCCCTGCCGGTTAAAGAGATCGCAGTGTCCCGTGCGATTTCTGTTCTCGGTGTGATTTTCGCAGCTCCGAAGGAAAAAAATTATTGATATAAATTTCAACGAAATGTTGCAATTGACCACGATCTTGCTCGCACTTTTAACAACCGAGGAAATGATGTGTTCCATAATTCAGGGGAGCAGTACGACCGACCCTTTTGCCACCGAATGGTCATTTCTGCATTCAACAGGTGGCCCAGTTTACGTGAAATGTTGATGAAAACTTTCCGCGAGCACCCGCGTGCGTTACGCTAAGGATCCCGATGAAAATCGCGCAAGAGCGCGATTTAAATGCATGAGAGATCTTGCACTGTGATGCAACCGTCATAACCTCGAAACACCCTTAAATTAATGCAAGGTAATACATACAGGGCGATAATTCAATCCGCCTATCTACATACCACCTGTTTCGAATTCCAATTAGTCTTTGAAGAGATCGTGCTCTCGGTAAAAATGAAAAAAATTAGCAAAGGTGTCTTTTTTTTTTTCTACAAAGGGTTTTTCCTTCCTCTGATTCTCCGAAGAGAACAACGAGCGGATCGTCGAGCAAAGACGGATGAAAAAAGTTCTCGCTCTTATAAGCTACGTAAGAAATATATTGCACTACTTCGTCTGCGATCGACTTTATCGCTGCTCATTTCGGAAGCATCTCGATTCGGTAGTTTTTACGAATTCACGAAGTGAGATGCATCTGCGATGTTATCGTATCGATCTTCGGCGAGGAGAAGACGCCCAAACATATTGAAATATTGATATCACTTTATGTCGAAGCGTCTTCACGGCAGATCTGCCTAAAAATGACTAGCGAATCAAAATATGGATCTTCTCACCGGCGAAGAAGTTTCTCTTTGCACTCTTTAAAAAGATCTCGATGGACGAGATCTTTCGTGTGATTTTGAAGCACGTGTGCTGATACTTCGAGGATGTTGCTTTAAAGAAAGCACAAAGAAATTGAAATGTATTTTATACAAAACTTTATCGAAAAAAACTTTATCGTCTCTTGATAACGAAAACTGACGACCGGTTTCGTTAAATTTAACCTCAGCTTAATCGATTCTTTGTTCGTGCTAGTTTCAATGTTAAAGGAAAACAAAGGGCCGAGTTTAAATTAGAGTTTAATTGAAGTAAACTGGCGTTAGCGAGATCGCCCAATAATTAGATTAGAAGAAGGTGGTACGGAAAAAAAAAAAATTTCAAAATAACAAGAGCCCTCGTCCAATTAAATTTCAAGTTTTGTAAACGCACACTTCGCGTGGATTTGAAT